TATATATATCGAGAGAGAGAGAGAGAGAGAAGGGAGAGAAAACTGGTATCATTATTGCAACTACTTATTGCCGTCATTAAAGACGTAAATATTGGAATAGTGGGTTATACGTCATCAAAAAATATATATATATATATATATATATATATATATATATATATATATATATATATATAAAGAAAATAATTATAATTTATATATATATATATATATTAGTAATAATCTTATAAGTATAAGAAATTTTACTCGTCCGAAAAATCTTCGGTGTCTTGATTTGCAAATGATCAAACCAATACCAAAAGGAGAAAAAAGGTATAAAAAAAGTAAGAAACAAGAACATGTACGTTAGCCGAAAATAATCGTCTAGCATACAAGTCCAAAGCCCAAAGAAAAAAACGATACGAGTACGCAAAATAACTAAATAAAGTGCTCAATACAGTAAGTAAAGCAGACCTAGTTAAACCCGAAGAGCCAGACAAACCTACCAAGGTTTCACCTAAGCGGATCGTGAGGGATATATATATATATATATATATATATATATATATATATAAAGATTATAATTATTTAAAATTTTAAAAATATCGTCTCATCGCTACACAGGAATTACCATGTTTCACCATGTTTCAAAACAGAAACTAAAATTTTGAATATAATTATGAGATTAAATTTAAAATCCATAGATCCAGTCTATTAACAAGCGATTTTTGGAATAACGTAATTAAGTACTTTACTTCAATTATAAGCACAGACAATCTTGATGTTTTTATTTTTATTTTTACAAAACAGTGCTCAATGTAAATTTAAAGAGCATAAATATTATAAATTAACAGATTTCAAATATGGTTTCTTCGCTACACAGGAATTACCATGTTTCAAAAACCAAAGTTAAAATCATCAAATATAATTATATAATTAAATTAAAAGCATTAGTTCTGTTTTATCTTTAAGTGAATTTTGGAATAATTTATTTTTTAAATTTACTGAGTTTTAAACACACATACAGTTTATATTTTTTTGTTTTCAAAGATACAGAGAAATCCAATCATTTAGACTGGGGCGGTAGCGTTTTCATTTTTATTGACTATTATTGTATCAATTATGAGTTACGTTCGAAAAAGAGGTTAAGTCTAGGTAGGGTAGGGGTGCGTTTTTCAAAGAATTTTGACTTCCGTTCAACGCATGTCGTCTGATTTTTTTTATCAACGAGAAAATTTTTTTTTATCAACGAGAAAAATATTTTTATCTACGAGAAAAATTTTTTCGACATTTTTTCCGTTAAATTCGTACTTGTATATAAAAATTCTTTCTAAAAGGGGTGTTTGAATTAGAATACGTTATATTGAACTACAATTTTAAAATATGATTTTTACTCATAATTACTAAAAGACTATATTTCTTTTTAAAACAAATCTAATAGAATTACATTTATTTGTCTTAAATGTGTTGTCTATTTATGTAAATTCTTTTCATAATGTCTGATAAGCTTAATAACATTATCATTAAACGAAGAAAGATAATCGCAATATTGATACATATTTTTTAATCCAATCTAAGCTTTCGGTGTACATAAGCCATTATCAAAGATGACAATTACTGTACAATATATTAAGCAACGCACGGACAAGAAAGCGATGATAGTCTGTTTCTGTTTACATGGATGATTTCCAAGCGAAAATCGCATCGCAGCTCATGACGTCACACCTGGCCACGCGAGAGTAAAAACAAGAAGTATTAAATATGGGAAGCCGTTGGTATAAACCAATGGCTTCTGTTACCAATTATAGACATTTAGGGATATTTGTGGAGATTTCATAGTTTATTTTGTTTAGGTTATGTATAAAATAAAAATTTACTGAATCAAAGAAATGAAATATCTATTCTTTGCCGACATTGTCAAAAATTTTCCTTAAATAATATTTAAAAATAAAATAAAAAAAAAATGGGAGCCGGTAATATACATACTTATATTTGATATGTAATAATAATTTTAAATAATTGTCTAGATTATTTAATGAAACATGTATGAATATATATATATGTAGCGAAAAAAAAAACATATTTTAAATCAATTAATTTATAATATTAATGCTCTGTAAATTTACATTGAGCACTATTTTGTAAAAATAAAAATATCTATAAGAACACCGGATTTTATATCTTACTGTTCTTTCTTTATATATATATATATATATATATATATATACTTCGATGAGCTGTCACTTCAGTGATCTTATATGCCGTTAAAACACTGGCTCTCATAAGATCACTAAATGATTTTTTACCAAGCGTGTGAGCAATGATGAGATCTTAGAGAGATTGCAAACAAGTAGGAAGGTTATAATTAACATCAGGAAGAGGCAGCTGAAGTTTCTGGGACACATAATGAGGAAGGACGGCCTGGAGAATCTGATACTCACGGGTCAAATAGAGGGGACGAGAGACAAGGGAAAACAACGTGTGACATACCTACCGGGCTTAAGCAAGTGGATCACAGAATGTGGTAAGGGGAAAAGAAGCAGAGGGAAGGACCTTGTTGATGACTGCAAGGGATAACGGGAGGTGGAGAGCCATCATCGCCTAGGTCCTGAAAGGACACGGTACATAAAAAGAAAGAAAGATGTATATATATAATTTTATGCAAGTTGCAATAACAGTAGTTGAGTGTCATCTGAGTAAAGGTTAACCTCCCAGATGGATTGACGTCGCACATAAACCTCCTTATTAAAAAAGTAATTTTATTAGATTTGCTCTCGGGGCAATAGGGGTAGTTTAGTGTCATCGAAGTAAACGTAAGATACATTAACTTCTCATGTAAACCTGCCGATTTTGATGCAATTTTATTAGACTCGCGCAATATATATATATATATATATATATATATATATATATATATCATACTTATTATAAAACCCAGGTTGTGTGTGTGTGTGTGTGTGTCTGTGTGTGTGTGTGTGTGTGTCTACGTTTATATATTGGATCGGATTTCCTACATTTTTCAACCGATTTCAACAAAACTTCACAGTACTACGTAAAATGACCTTGCGGTGGTCCTGACAGCGCCAAAAATTGGAAAAACACAATTGTTTTTGCACGAAATCAATTTGAAAACACGATTAAGAGGCATCGCTGTCGCGAGAATAAAAGGGGGACAACTCATATCGAGTTATACATATAAAACCCATAATATAAGGTTGTTTGTGAGTGTGTGTCTGTGTCTGTGATCGAATTTGGGTTTGACCAATTCGTAAAAGAAAAACAAAAAACAAAGAAACAAACAAACAAAAACTAATTAAGACATGCGTGTCCGTCAACCTTAAACAATAATCTTTGTCAATTTTATTTTTCAGTCTTTATAATGGTCGATACTTGATCTATCTCTTACTGTTACATCCCCGGGCAACGCCGGGCTCTACTGCTAGTATATATATATATATATATATATATACATATGTTGTGTAGGAACCTACCGCCCCTCTTGAAGATGAACTCGTCTACAAACAAGGACGTTAAATAGTGGCATGTCAAAAGACAGTGTCGGAGAAGTTCTTGAGCTGACTTCCGACGTCTGTCGAACTCTCTGCGTTAGCAGAGAGGAACCCGGACGAGGCTTTGCCGAAGGGCAAGGTTTCGTCCGGGGAGGTAGACAGGGCCTGAACCCGTCTAATTGGCTTCAAAAGGCTATTTTTTTGGCCGAGCCTACGGGCTCGGAAAAACTCACAATAAAACCGGCCTTGTGCCATATTCGTTTCCCGTGGGTGAAATGATAAATACCGAGAAGTTCTTGGGCTGAGTCAGTTATAGACTACTCAGGCGATTTCTGTACCAACTTACCTACCGAATAAACCCCTTTTTATTGTTACATGTTATTTGGCGTTTGTCTTTATTAACCCCAAATTAACATCATAACATATATATATATATATATATATATGTCGGGTGTAACAGCCAATTCTTAGATCAAGATTTGTACCGTTGTATCTTTGGAATGATTAAAGATATCTTCCTGGAATTCTCCGAAGTTATTAAACCACTATTTGACGCTACTTTGAACAATAAAAATGTACTTAGCTCTAATTTGAAACGATGATTTCCCTTCCTTTTATGACCTCCCTACCCAGTTTTCTTCCCTAATGTCAGCTCTTATTCACCGTTCTCTTGATGGTTCTTGAATGGGCTTTGAAAATGGAAGCCAGGGTGTGAATATTGATACTATTATTGAAGGCCTGAATTATCTTTTTCCTCTCAACATTGCTCAGTTGGGAAGACATAGTGAGGCTGGCACAAAACGATTTTAAACTGTTCTCTTTCTAACTGAATAACTAATAATAAGGTTTTTTTTTATTGATTCTTACAACAAATGGTGACAAGATGGCGAAACGTCTTATCTGTAAACATGGAAAAAAACTAGTGGGTTTTAGATATTAAACATTGTGTGGGAGGGGCAATTGCCGTATGCAGTTATACGATGTGGACAATTTTGATGTTACTCCCGTTATGTAGGTGGAAGAGGCGATATATAAACGTAAATGTGGGTTTATAATTATTCACTGAGGGCAAAAAGCCGAATATGGAGCGGCGCTAAATTTAAGACACGTCCAGTCATGTTCGATGCTAGAAATTTCAAAATTCAAAATATGGCCTCCCTTCACCCTCAACGTTTCCTCTCGATGCCTAATTAACACCGACATTGACGTTTATATCTCCCTCACCTCTTACTGTTTACGATCGTATCACGTTGAAACAACCGTTCGTACAAGATCACCGAAGTTAAGCAACGACGAGCCTGGTCAGTGATTAGATGGGTGACCGATTTGGAATACCAGGAGCTGTAATCTTGGATGTAAGGTTGGTGTAAATGGCTTACCATCATATGCCGTGAAAACCCTGGCTCTCATAAGATCACTGAAGTTAAGCAACGTCGAACCTAGTCACTAAATACCGGTTGAGAATACCAGGTGCTGTAAAGTTGAATGAATGAAAGATTGATGTAAAGGGCTTATGGCAATATCACGCTGGGACATCGATACTCGTACGATCACCGAAGTTAAGCAACGTCGGGCCTGGTCAGTAATTAGATGTGTGACCGATTTCGAATACCAGGAGCCGTAATCTTGGATGTTCGGAGGGTGTAAATGGCTTACGGCCATATGCCGTTAAAACACTAGCTCTCATAAGATCACTCAAGTTAAGCAACGTCGAACCTAGTCACTACATATATGGGTGACCGATTGAGAATACCAGTTGCTGTGAGCTTGAATGAGAGGTTGATATAAAGGGCTTATGGCCATATCACGTTGGAACATCAGTTGCCGTACGATCACCGAAGTTAAGCAACGTCGAGTCAGGTGAGTACATGGATGGGTGACCGATTGGGAATATCAGTTGCTATAATCTTAGATGTGCGGGTGATATAACGGGCTTACAGTCATATGACGTTGAAAGACCGGTTCTAGTAAGATCACCAAAGTTAAGCAACGTCGAGCCTGGTCACGATTAGATGGGTGACCGATTTGGAATAACAAGAACAGCAATCTTGGATGTGCAGGAGGTATAAAGGGCTTACAGCCATATGATGTTGAAACACCAGTACTCATACATATCACCGAAGTTAAGCAATGTCGAGCCTGGTCAGTAATTCGATGTGTAGCCGATTGGGGGTAAGGGGAAATATAACCTTAGATATGCAGGTGGTATAAAGGGGTTACAGTCATATGAGATTGAAACACCGGTTCTCGTACGAACACCAAAGTTAAGTAACGTCGGGCCTGGTCAGCACTTAGAGGGGTGACCGACTTAGAATACCAGGAATTGTAATCTTGGATATGCGTGTGATGTAAATTGGCTACGGTCATATGCCGTTAAAACACAGGCTGTCATAACTTCACTGAAGTTAAGCAACTTCGAACCTGGTCAGTATTTAAATGGGTGACCGCTTAGGAATTGCAGGTGCTGTAAGCTTGAATGAGCAGTTGTTATAAAGGGCTTATGGTCATATCACGTTGGAACATCGGTTAAGTTAAGCAACTTGGAGCCTGGTAAGTAACTGCATGGCTGGCCGATTGAGATTACCAGCTGTTATAATCCTGGATATGCGGGCGGTATAATAGTCTTATGGCTATATGTTGAAATATAGTTTCTTGTAAGTTCAAAGTTAAGTAATGGCGTACCTGGTCAGTACCAAGATGGGTGACCGTTTGGGAATACCAGGTGCTGTCTGCTTGATTGAACGAACGGTTGTTATAAAGCGCTTATGGCCATATCACATTGAAACATTGGTCCCCGAAGTTAAGCAATGTCGAGCCTAATCATTTATCGAGATAAGATATCCATTGGAAATATCAGCTGCTGTAAGCTTGGATTTGTGGGTGGTGTAATGGATAACGTCTTGGAATTTGAAATTCTCTCTTCCTGATGTTAAGAAAAAGTTTCCTTAAAACGTCGGTGTTTCTCACATGTTCGGTCAATGGTATCCTCAGTATCCTTCTGTAGAACCACATTTGTGTTATTTCAATATCGTCTTCCTCTGTGAAGTCTTTACTCCCATATAGGAGGAGATATATCACGTTACATTTCAGTACTTTTTTTTTTCTTTGTTTTTAACAAATTTTTTTCTGTTTCTTAATTCTTTGCTTAGCTTTGGGAAAACATCTTTCGCTATCCCAATGCGCCTTCAGATTTCAGAATCGTACTTTCCGTCCTCTGTTAAAACACTTTTAGGATAACTAAATTACCGTACTTGTTTGAGATTTGTATCCCTAATTTGTAGTCGGATTTCCCGATCGTTAAGTATATTTTAAGGCTTTTCATCACATTGTTTTTTTTTCGGAGAAGACTCCTCGGAGAATGCGTTCACAATCGTTTCCTACGTGCTGTTGCTCTTTTTCAAACTCTCCAATAAGACGATAAACAACAACATGAGCATTGCCTACTAAACTTGCTCAGTAGGCCTAGCGTAAAAATAAATAACGCATAGAGAAAGAGAAGCTATAGTAAGACTTCAGCAGCTTTAAGAAATGGGGAAAGACTGTGAAGGAAGACATGTGAAACAATCAGTTACAGAGTTAGTAGCAGACAGAGAAGAACATTGGCTTTTATAGAGGAGAGTCTGCGACGTTCGACAATTTTATCGATGACAGAATCAATTTATATCATTTGACATTTTGCAACCCACCTACCAATAGGTGGAAGCTTGATAAGCATGCAGTTAAATCCGGCAATGGGTGGAATGTTCTGAAACTAAACGCACAATATTGATAGCTTCTTCTGAGTGTAGCATCATGACATTGATTTGTTTCTTACTGCAATTCAATATCACGCGTAAAGATCTGCAAGTACGAGATATCAACAGTGGTTGCTTCAAAGTCTCTTTATAGAACGACATCTCACTCGCCTCGTCTCTTCATAGAACGACATTTAAACTCATTTCGTCTCTTCAAAGAACGACATCTCACTGACTTCGTCTCTTCATAGAACGACATCTCACTCATTTCGTCTCTTCATAGAACGACATTTCACTTATTTCGTCTCTTCATAGAACGAAATCTCACTCATTTCGTCTTTTCATAGAACGACATCTCATTCACTCATTTCGTCTCTTCAAAGAACGACATCTCATTCACTCATTTCGTCTCTTCAAAGAACGACGTCTCATTCACTCATTTCGTCTCTTCAAAGAACGACATCTCACTCCCTCATTTCGCCTCGTCATAGAACGACATCTCTTTCATTTCGTCGCTTCATAGAACAAAATCTCACTCACTTCATCTCGTCATAGAACGACATCTCTTTCACTTCGTCTTTTCGTAGAACGAAATCTCACACGTTTCGTCTCGTCATAGAACGACATCTCTTTCACTTCGTCTCTTCATAGAACGAAATCTCACTCATCTCGTCTCGTCATAGAACGACATCTCGTTCATTTCGTGACTTCATAACACAAAATCTCATTACTCACTTCATCTCGTCATAGAACGAAATCTCATTACTCACTACAAGTCTCTTCATAGAGCGACATCTAACGCGTTTGAACTCTCTACATGGACATCTTGCTCGCTGCAAGTCTCTATATAGCAGCACATCTGACTCGCTTCAATTTTCTTCAGATAACTACACATATCACTCACTTCAAATGTCTTAAACATTTTGCAACAAACATACACAGGATTAAACACAGCCATCGATAAGTGGAACACCCAGCGTACAATAACAACAGCTTCTATGTGAACGATCAGGTCATGGATTTGGTTATTACTGCAATTTAACATCAGGCACAAAGATCTGCAAGCCCAAGACAGCAATATTTGGTGTACATATGGAAAATATTTTTAAAAAAATGAAAAAAAGATTACGAGAAGAAATAGAGTAATTAAAGGAGATATAGTTTCAGATTTCGTCAGAGCGTAAGCTTATCGCTAAAAACTGTGGCATGAACAGCGTAATCAAAGGCGCCAAGCGGAAGGCAAAGAAAATGCTTGCGGGCGAATCGGACGAGTGTGGGGTCTGGTGAGTAAAGTGCCAGTAACGTTAGGATTCCTTTTGAGACGGCGTTCTTTTCGATTGGATTATTGAAAACACGGCACGAAGATCCAAGACAGCGTGCAGGAAGCCGCATTTAGTGGCTTGTGAAGATGGGTTGCCCTTAAGTGCTAATGCAAGTCGGCGATCTTTAGATGCTGTGCCAAGGGAACCGCAAGAATAATTCATACAACCTAAAACCTGATAAAAAGCAAAATCCTCCATTCACCCTTTTTAATCTCTTACACCATACCTGGGTATGACGATAAACTACATCCGGCAACAAGACCTCTGATCTAGAGGTTTTGAGGAGCGTGGAACCACGTCGTAATTGCTGTTGTTACCAGGCCCACTCTGACCCTGGGTGGTAGCACCTTTAAGGGTCCCAGCTATGGGCAAATAGTTAAACCCCCCAAAGTGAAGTCAAAACACTATGAAAGTAAAAAAAATAGATTTTAATAGTAAAAATACCAGCAATACGTTATTGAAAAAAAAAGAATATTCCCACAATAAACCATAAACCAGACTCTCAACAAAAACCTTTACAAATATACGACAATGAAACCTGATCTACAAACTGATTTCTTACAAAGAATACATATTCTAGTCATACGAATCTATCCTAAAAATCTTTTCGGTATTAAATAACCCATTGAGGTGTTGATATGCCGCTAAACAACATCAAGAAACAATCAACAAACTAATGCAACCCTCTTTACAAAAATACATCAATGAAATCTGATCTACAAACTGATTTCTTACAAAGAATACATATTCTAGTCATATGAACCTATTCTAAAAATCTGGTTGGCATTACATTACCCACTGAGGTGTTGACATGGCGTTAAACAAAATAAACCAAACCGAATTCCATTCACAAGATCTAAATACTCATTTTCTAAATGTTAGAATCATTTTAAATTAAAAAAAAATTGCCGAAGAACAGTTTTTCCTTTTATTACATTTCTTAAATACAACGTCTCCTCAAGACACAGGCAATCAGGACCCTTCACAGATCGCCCGATGCCGTTGAAATTCAGCATTTTTGTTTTTCTAAACTGGTTACCAGCCAAGGCTAATTTACCCGTGGTTCCAAAAATGTCTAAACTTCTAAAAGTTTCCTAATATTTAATCAAAGCGATTTTAAAAAAAAATGTTCTATGTTGAAATCCACAATTTAGTTGAAAGTTGTCGTGACGTTATAGAAAATCGGGGAAAATACTTCGATGATTGATTGAATGAATGCTGTGGAATTATGTCAATAAAATATTTTGTTAGACCTGCTGTAAACTTTTGCATTGATTAAATAGTCTTCAGCCGTCAAAATGTTCATTTGTCTTCCTCCTCGATAAGTGATTTGTTTTATGATAAATTTGATTAAAACTTCTATTAATTTAATCTAAAGATTATTTTTGATTTGAACTTAAGATTTGAAAATCATTTGTATTTATGATGTTTCTGACGATAGTATGTAAATGAATGACAAATATATATATATATGTATATATATATATATATAAAGAGAGAGAGATAAATATAGACAGATAGACATGAAAAGTCTTAGATAGATAGATAGATAGATAGATAGATAGATAGATAGATAGATATTAACAAAATGAGATAGAGAGACAGATATAAACAGATTGAGATAGATCGAGAGATAGATAGTGAGAGGGCGAGATAGATATCGATAGAGCAAGATCGATCGATCTATCGATATGTATGGTGCGAGATAGATAGAAATGAATTAAGTGAGATAGACAGGTATGGATATAGATAGATATGAACAGATATAGAAAGTTAGATAGATAGGAATAGAACAAGATAGATAGATAGATAGATAGATATGAACAGACTGAGATAGATAGATAGATAAATAGATAGATAGATAGATAGATAGATAGATATGAACAGACTGAAATAGATAGATAGATAGATAGATAGATAGATAGATAGATAGATAGATAGATGTGAAAAGACTGAATAGATTGATAGGTAGATAGATATGAACAGTGAGATAGATAAATAGATAGACAGACAGACAGTTATAAACAGACTGAGATACGTAGATAGATAGATAGATAGATAGATAGATAGATAGATAGATACCTCAAAATTTTTAGCACATCATATATATATATATATATATATATATATATATATATGATGTATGTGTTTGTGTGTGTATTTATGTATTTGTCTAAGCACTCGTTCCCTGATCCGTCAGTAAACAAAAATATGCTTGCTAAAAGTTGCTGAGATTTTTGTTTTCATTCGATCTTAGCTTGGTTTACCTTGATATTTTCGGCTACCAGCTTGAATGTTCGAGAAATCAATATTCGAGATAAAAATATGGTTTCTCCGGGGACTGAGTGTGACGAGACAAAGGATAAAGCGTGTATCTAACATTGATACGTAATCTTTATTTTATTTTATTTTATTTTAATAAATAACATGAAAGGACCATTAAAAAAAAGCCAGGGGTAACTTTGTCGCCATATTTATTACAACGTTTCGGCCGCTGTACGCTCCGGCATTCTTCAGGTGGTTGGAATGTTGAACTGAACCCTTTATTTCACTCACTGGGGTAGACTGTTCTAGTTCCACGTGCCATGTTTTTAATGGATGTCAGTTACCAGTTATCTCCAGTTATTCGGACAATGTACATAATACCTTATCACAGAAATATAGACAGATACTGAAAGTCCGAAACGTTGTAATAAATATGGCAACAAAAATGAGGACAATACTCTGAATAATGTAAATAGTGTACATAATACCTCATCTCAGAAATATAGACTGATACTGAAAGGCCGAAACGTTGTAATAAATATGGCGATAAAGATGAGGACAATAGTCCTAATAATGTAAATAATGTACATAATACCTCATCTCAGAAATATAGACTGATACTGAAAGGCCGAAACGTTGTAATAAATATGGCGATAAAGATGAGGACAATAGTCCGAATAATGTAAATAGTGTACATAATACCTCATCTCAGAAATATAGACTGATACTGAAAGGCCGAAACGTTGTAATAAATATGGCGATAAAGATGAGGACAATAGTCCTAATAATGTAAATAGTGTACATAATACCTCATCTTAGAAATATAGACAGATACTGAAAGGCCGAAATGTTGTAATAAATATGGCGACAAAGATGAGGACAATAGTCCGAATAATGTAAATAGTGTACATAATACCTCATCTCAGAAATACAGACAGATACTGAAAAGCCGAAACGTTGTAATAAATATGGTGACAAAGATGAGGACAATAGTCCGAATAATTCTAAATAATGTACATAATACCTAATCTCAGAAATATAGACAGATTCTGAAGGGCCGAAACGTTATGATTAATATGCCAACAAAGATGAGGAGACTAGTCTGAATAGTGTAAATAGTGTACATAATACCTCATCTCAGAAATATAGACACATACTGAAGGGCCGAAACGTTGTAATAAATATGGCGACAAAGATGAGGAAAATAGTCCGCATAATGTAAATAGTGTACATAATACCTCATCTCAGAAATATAGACAGATATTTCAGGGGTAACTTCTCGCACCAAACGTCTTTTTCATTTACATATTAAATGACCTGCCTAAAAAAATATTCTCAGAATATTTGTAAATATCTAAACCGGTATTTGTCTAAAAGTCTTGATAATCAGTGATTGTCAGTTGATCTGTTTTCTGATCTAACACGAATTCATTCAGTGGGCAAAATAACTGTTTGGTTCCGTTTAATACCTCGAAAATCAAACTAGTTATATTCCACCATTGTTGATCGATCCCAGAACTATCCACCGTGCCTTGAGAGGCTATCGGACCTTAAACTCACACCTAATATCAAGTAGAAATCGCTAAAAAAAAAAAAAAAAAAAGTAGCCTCGAGTCTCTTCTTCATCTTTGTGGAAATCGTCATCCCTGACCCGGGGTGGTAGCACCTGTTAGGATCCCAGCTATAAACAAATAATGAATTCCCAAGCAAAAAAAAAAAAAAAAAGAAAAAATACTATGAATGTATAAAAATATTTTTTCAAAAAACTAAAATACCATTATTATATAAAAAAAAAAATACCTATTTATATTAAATTTACCAACAATGCATAAAAAAAACATGAAATAACATCAAGACATTACTCCATATAATTTATTTCTTATAATTCATATTATTCGGTTGGTGTAAAAATAATGACGTAATAATGTCGTTTTTTGACGTATTTTTTAAGGTCAAAAAACGACATTATTACGTCATTATTTTTGCACCAACCTAATACAAGTAGGAATCATTAGATAAATACGCCAAACTTTTCATTTATTCTAACGACGATAAGCTATAATTATTTTTCTATCTTCTTGCTTTCCTCTCAACTTTGATCTTCAAGAACTTAAATGCTAAAGATACAGGACAAATGGCCGGCTCCCTGTATTGCTCCAGGAAGTACCTGACCCCTCAATGTTATCCTCTAGCTTTACAAGAGCCAGATCAGTCTAAGAATTGAGTATTGTTGTCGTATTTGAGCGAGAGCTGAACAGACAGCGCTTTTTAGCCTCGATAGAGTCCTAAAGCGTCTCCGTGATTTTGTGGGTGACGAATTATTTTTCACCCTCTAGCTTCTCTCTGACAGGCGCGATGTGGCGAGTCTCTCACTTCTCTGTCTCTACTTCCATGGAAAGTGCTCGGAAAACAATATTCCTTGCGCCGGCAGGCCTTACATTCACAGCAACGACCCGCCATATCGCTTACACATAGCAAACCATTCACATTCCCTTCGTATTTCATCGGCGAGAAGAGAGTTCCACTTAAACAGCTTCTTCCTCTGCTCTATGGAACCGATTCCAAAGAGGATGTTTTCTCGAGCGCTACAATCTTAACCTGTTCAAGTCTACAGGTAACGGTCGCTTTCGCCTCCTATCAGTAGAAATTGCTTCCCAAAGTAACCCTCTACCTAGAGTGCTCCAAAACCTTGCACAGGGTGAACCTTACCGTAAAAAATCCTGATGTAGAACACTTTAGTCGGAAATTTGAAAGATATCAAAAACTCTTTTTGGGGTGGGGCGGGGTGAATTCTTACGGCCTCAATTCACCTTATAAATATGTAAGAGTTTAGAATTTATTATTGAAAATAAGAAGCGAAAACCAGAAATTAATTTCAGCCAATAAACGGGAACTTGGTATTTTTTTACAAAAATTTCACATATATTAAATAATAAAATATTGACAAATACTCAGTATATTAAGAAAACATATGTCGTAAATAAATAAGTACATGTATGCCATTCTTTCTTTCTTTCTTTCTTTCTTTCTTTCTTTCTTTCTTATTGTCATACTCCCTTCTTTCCTTCACCGCCCTTTCACTCCCGCTTTTCTTTCTTTCTTTCTTTGCTCTCTTTTCTTTCTTTCTTTCTTTCTTTCTTTCTTTCTTTATTTTCTTTCTTTCTTTCTTTCTTTCTTTCTTTCTTTCTTTCTTTCTTTCTTTCTTTCTTTCTTTCTTTCTTATACGCTAATCTTGCCTTACATTCTCCCTCACATTCTCGTTTTTTTCTTTGCTCTCTTTCATTTCTTTCTTTTTTATTCCCATGCGCCCTTCTTTCCTTATCTCTCCCACTCTGTTTTTTTCTGTCTTTACTATCCTTTCTTTCTTTTTCTTTCTTTCTTTCTTTCTTTCTTTCTTTCTTTCTTTCTTTCTTTCTTTCTTTCTTTCTTTCTTTAAAATTTCTCCTCCCTGACGCTGTTCTCCGTTCTTCTTTTTCTGATTCTTTTCCCCCCTCTCTCCCTCTGATGTCTACTTCTTAATTCCTTTTACTTCACATCTTTTCCCTCTCGTCTGCTTCTTCCATTCCATTTAATGAATTAATGTCCGTACAGAAGATATTTGAGTCACATTTTAAAAATGTTGATTGTACGACTTATTTTCGGATTTGCGAAAATATAAACAAAGACAAATATTGCAATAAATTCCCTTTTAACGCCAAATGATTATTTTAAAACATTCATCTACTTACCGCTTGCTGTGATATTTCACACATTTCACCAAGGGAAACGTTTTATTTCTGAGCGACTTATTAAGCGTAAAGTCCAAAATAAGCGACGCCATTAAAAAAAGCATTTTCTTTAAACAAACTAACAAAAAAGGACTCAGACCTAATTAAATATTTCTTTCAGTCTGCTTTTACACTGAACCATTTGCTTGTTAGTAGCAAAGGTATTTTTTTTTTATTTACAATAATCTTCAGCCTGTACAAGGCACAAAATTTGGAGTGCTACAGTGTAAGAGACCTGGTTTATGGGGAAGATAACGGTTAACCCTGTTCTTGAACAGGTTGTGGTCGGGGAAGCATCCACTCAGGAGTCAGTCTCACAAAACAGCTGTTTCGTGGGATGAAGCTGCTCGAGTTGAACTTACATCTTACCAATGGAGTTGGTTGTTTTTCTTTAGCGACATATCGGCACCTCTATGGGTCGACCTCATCTTGAAATAATTAGATCATGTAACGGGTAAAAGAAAAAAAAATATATATGGGAATTAGCGGCGTCTGACCGGAGTATTGTTCTAAGGCGTTGTATCTGTGATTTACAAAGTCTCTTCTAGAAAAGGGCATTACAAACTAGTGATACAAGTATTACTAATTAACCCATAGATAGGGAGAGAAGAGGGGGATTCATAGCACTCCTAAGGGTATTTGCGCGAAAGTGAATACAACGGACCCAATTGGAATTGGAACTCGGCTTTCCGAGTCTTTATCCATTGCACCATCAGAACATTTACTTTTACCGCACTTGTTATATGCCAACGGTCACCCAAGTAGGTAGTGGGCATGCTTGGCGTTGCTTAACTTCGGTCGGAGTTTCAACGTGATGTAGACATAAGTCTCGACGTAGAATGTTACAGAGTAAGAGGTATAGTTTATGGAGATGTGTGGGGAAGATAACGGTAGTGCTCGGGGAAGCATCCGCTTGGGAGTTGACTCCACAAAGCAGTGGCCCGTAGGTCGAAACTTTTCGAGTAAAACTTACATCACTCTATTTGAATACGAAAGGGATGTGGGCAGTCCGCTTCACGGCTAACACTCACTGTGCCAAGCACATTGTAGCAAACCACCCTTAATCACTTCATATTTCATTGGTGAGACCTAAGTTCCACTTGAACAGTTTCTTCTCACGAACTGCGGTTTGATTCACTTCATACCAACCTCCAAAGGCTGATACAAAATCATTTTGGGTGACATCCTAGAGGGAGGGGGAAAAAGAAAGGAAAGAATGAAGGATTAAACATGAGTCGATAGGGTGACCTAGAAATGATTTTTTTACGACAAGTTAAAATACAAGGTAAGAGAGTGGAATCCAGGTATAAAATAAAAACAGTAATGTGTCTAATATTCATGTCATCTTCGACAGCAAAAGAATCATCATCGCATTATAATCATCACAATTTCAAATTGATAATAATAATAATAATAATAGTGATATTTGACATAAATAAAATAACGTTTAATAAATAAATGAAAAATTTAAAAAATAAAAATATATATAGAAAATATTAATTAAATAATTAAAATACTTAGGAGAAAAAGATAAATTAAAAAACATAAATATATATATATACACTATTTACATTATTCGGATAATTGTCTTCATCTTTGTCACGATATTTACTACAACGTTTCGGCCGTTGTACGTTCCGGCCTTCTTCAGGTAGTTGGAATATCGAACTGAACCCTTTATTTCACTCACTTTGGTAGACTGTACTAGTTCCACGTGCCACGTTTAATGGACTTCAGTTATCAGTTATCTCCTGTTAATTCCCCTCTGAAAGTTCTCAACTGCCTTATCCACACTCTCCTGAGTCGACCAAGCTTAGGAATGAATACAATATGGGAACCAGTAATAAGTAGTGCCAGAGAAAAGCGATAATAACAGCAAAAACTGCAATATGAACTCTGGTAAAAACATGAAATAATAATAATAACAATTATAACAAGTATTACTAATTAACCCATAGATAGGGAGAGAAGAGGCGGATTCATAGCTCTCCTAAGGGTATTCGTGGCACATATCACAATAATAACAGCATAAATTGCAATATAGGCACTGGAAGAAAATGGTTCCTGATGACATTAGGTTTATAATACCCAGAAAATCGTACAAAAATGTCGCCAAGGACTCGTGGCACAGTTGACAAAGTCGTAAGTAAGATATGGTGAAAGGATCCAAAGAGTGTGAGTTCAATACCTTGCTAAGACAGTGGAGAACATCCATTAAACGTGGTACATGAAACTAGAGCAGACTACACCAGTGAGCGATCCATTTTTTTTTCCAGTGAAATGTAAGTAAATACGTCAAACTTTTCATTTATTCTAACGATGATAAACTATAATTACTTTTCTATCTTCTTGCTTTCCTGTCAACTTTGATCTTCAAGAACTTAAATGCAATGTCAAATGTTATCGTCTGTTTCTTTATTGTTCGCCCATCTTAATGTTTTCTTTCTACATATTCTCCCACACCTCAGTAACTCCCTTGAGTCTTAGTGGCTTTATTACCTTGTTTAGGGTAAAATGATTAACAACAACAAAAAAGAAGATATAGAATGGTCAAAAGCATTAAGCATAGACGAAGCCATCGAAAATGAGTTAACTGTAAAAATGTATTGCAAATTATTTTTAAAAAGTTTTTTCCGATAATTCGTATTTCAAGGAGGATTCGTTAGACAAATGCATCAAAATATTCAATACCATAACGATGATAAAATACGAGGCAAAAACATTAAAAGCATGGTAGAGAAAAAACGCATTGTAAATTATTAAAAAAGGTGTTACTATAACTCATATTAAAGGTCTGATTTCGTAGTCAAATACATCAAAACTTTCATTTATTCTAATAATTACATTTATATAATGATGCAGTAAATTTGGGAAATAAATCAAACTGTATTCTAAAATATAATTACAATAAAACTACAATATAACTTGCACATGTCATCTCCTCTAGTAATTATGATCCCACATACATGTATCTGCACTAAGTCTGAGTATCATCTACCATGTATTCAACTGTGAAAGCAGAATAACATATATCATATTTTTAGTACTTTAAAGTTCGTCAATAAATGACCCATATGGAGTCGACATGTCGTTAACAAAAAAAATCAAATCAAACCACCCTCCTCACGAGCAAAATAACAATATTTTTTTTCTAATTGTTCGTGCAATATAAAGCGCATGAGCCTCTCAAGGTAGAGAGTTATTAGATTTTTACTAATTGAGGTTGTTGCATGTAAGAAGTGCAG